ATGAATTCTGGAGAGGGTTTTATGGCCATCAAAACTATAAAGAGAAAAAGTGCTTAATTTCCTTGTGGGATATGAAACCTCAAGATAATCTTGAGTTATAGTTGCAATGTAAATTATAAGTATAATGTTTCAGTACAATTTTGCTTATCCAATAATAAATTTGTCTTGAAAAAGTTAGTAAATAGTAACAAGCATATTCTCTAAATTTACTCTTTCATTCTACTTCTCTCTGCCCAACAAGTTTAAAAAAAAATTTTTTTTTTTAAATATTTATTTATACAAGCACTGGGTATAGTCAGAAGCGCGGGAGGGTGAGAGGAGTCACCAGAGCCAGAGCAGGGAACAGATCAGGCAGACCCACGAAATACACTGCTGAGGAGCACAGCGGGTGAGACAGGAGAGGTCTGCACGCCATGTGGGAGCCTCGCCTGTGGCGGGGGATTGAACTGGCGCTGCAGAGGCTGCGGGCAGCTTCGCAGCCCAGCGCTCAACTGCTGCGCCACCAGGGGAGGCCGAAAAAATTTTTACATCTTTTTCAAAATGCAGATCCACTAAGATATATGGCTTGAATGATGCTTAAGTTTAGACAGTCATTACAAATAACTACCAGACAACTGGCAGCTTAGAGTATTACAACAGTGAGAGACAAATGCACAAGGAAAACCATGGGTCTCAAATGGCAACCCATCTAAACAGATTTCCTGTTTACTTTGCATCAGCCTCTCTTACAGGTGCAGGGTGCTCACTTTCAGCAGTCGGGGAAAGAACTGATTTATGAGCCATAAGAACATCGTCTCACTTTCCATAAACAGGTTACAGAATTAATTAAAACTGCAGCACATCAATTGTACACATGAATCTGCTCTGTTATTGGAGACTAATGTAATCCAAATATGTGGAAAGTCAAATAGTTTTTCAACAAAGTTAATTTAGATGGATGGATCAGATAACAACTTGGAACGAACCTGCCTGAGTCTTTCACTCAAAGGCGGTAAGTATTCAGTGTTATTTCCCAAAATGTACAAGGAAAATATTGAATTTGAGTCTATTACCAGAATGATTAAAAAACAGTACTTTACTTATATAAATGTTTCAGTGTCTTACTTGAAAAGGTCACAAACATTCATAAAAGTACTAAAATTTCTATTTTAAAAAAATGAAAAAGACTATAAGAAAATATAAATCGCATAAAAGACCATGTGATATTAGCATTTAGTCTATTGTTGTCCATCTCTCTACTTAAAGAAAATGCCTCCATCTATAATGTTTTGTTGTTATGAAGACAACACAAAGGCATAGCCGAAAGGAGGCTCCTTCACACCTTCACATCCGAAAAACCACTACGTTCCCAGGATTTATCATCGCTAGAAGGATGAAGCACGACCAGCACAGAAGTGTCAAACATTTTATGAGCTAATGGATCTCATTTTATTGGCAAAGCAATATTGAGTGTATCCATATGTAAAATTGAAAGTTAAAAAAAAAACAACACCAGCTTCTGTCTTCTGCTTGTTATCTCAGTAAGAAACAGAAGACATGTATGGGCAGAGAGGGAAATGTGGAGATCAGAAGGAACATTCTACTATCACGACCATCCACTGGCCAGAGAACTACTCTAATGTGGGTACAGGGTCCTCTGCAGTGGCTATGAGCACAAGCCCATGGACAGCACTCACTTTTAGGGTATAGAGAGAAGAGACGATAGCATAGCTATGTCTGTGTACACCCATTCCACCTCTGGCATGTTCCCTTAACACTCTACCTTCTCGTCACAGTACAAGGCTCTCCTCTGTTCTGTTCCATACATCCCAGTGAGTACTGAATACTTTTAAGAATTTGAGTTATTTTCCAGTTAGTCCAATGTTGGTTTAGTATTTCACTCTTGTTTTGTGTTTTTTTTTTTTTTAAAGATTTATTTATTCATGCATACAAGAACTGAGGTATAGGCCAGATGTGCGGGACAGTGAGAGGATTCACCAGAGACAGAGTGGGGAATAGAACAGGCAGACTGACTGAAATACACTGCTGAGGGGAGCAGCGGGTGAGACAAGAGAGGTCTGCTGCACCAGATGGGCATCTTGCCGCTGGCCAGGATGGAATCTGCGCTGCAGAGGCTGTGGACAGCTTCACAGCACTGCGCTCAACCACCTGCACCACCAGGGGAGGCCCCGTTTTGTGTTTGTTTTTATAGAATGTGCATGATCTCTGAGATGCTGTGATAGCCTGCCTCTACAATGATGCCCAGTGACCCTAACTCCTACACTGCATAGACTTCATGGCTGATCGCTGTAGGCAGGCAGATGTTGCAGTGTGCTCCTGAGGCTAGGTCATGAAGGCATTTCAGCTTCTAGCTTGTTTTCTGTACTCCCTGAGAAAACCAAGTGAGGCTGTGAGGACAGACAAGAGCCTAACGAAGGTCCTCAAGTGGTAGGGAGGAACTGAAGCCTTCTGCCCACAGTTGGAACCAAATGCATGTGCTATCTTAGGAACAGGTCACCCATCCCAGTCAAATTTTTAGACAATGACTGACACCCTGAGCTCCTGAGCTAGACTCACTCAGCTATGCCATTCCTGAATTCCTAATCCAGAGAAATTAATGACAAAATAAATGCTCATAGTTGTTTTAAGTTGCCTAGTGTTGAGGTAATTGGTTAAGCAGCCATAAATAATTTCATACTATTTCTTATAGAAACAATTATGCCAATCAAATATCTTTACTAACATACTATTATTGCTATATGAGAGATTCCCAAGTCAAACCAGGTAAGTAATTAAACAGACTTTTTTTTCAAATTGAGATATAACTGACACAGATAAAATGCATATACCTCAAACATACATTTCAGCATGTTTTCACAAGTTTTCCAAGAGCATGTGCCATGAAAATAATACCTTGATCAAGAGGCAGAAATTTCCCATAATTCCAGAGAGTTCCTTAAGGGATATTTTAAGTAAGTTCCTCCATAACCCACCCCAAATCCCAATCAGAGTCAAGCACTATTTTTACTATTTTTTTACTATCACCACAGAGGAGTTTTCACTGCTCTAGATCTTCACATAGAGGAGGTAATCTTTTGGGTCTAGTGACTTTTGCTCAGGCTGGGTCTATCCATGATGTTGAATCAGTAGCTCACTGCTTTTTATTGTTGACTAACATTCCATGGCTTGGTTATACACTCTCCCAGCGATGGGCATTTAAGCTCTCCCCAGTGTGGGGCTGCTATGAGTAACGTCTTTGAAAACATTTGTGAGCAACATTCAGATGGGAGTGGATTTTTCCTTTCTTTGGTTAAATACCAAGGCAGGGCTGGACTAGTGTGAGGTGCATGTGAGGTGAATTGGGCACAAAACTGAAGAGGATCCAGTATTTCAGAGTAGGGTTGCTGGATCATAAAGTAGACGTTCCTATAATAACTTAGCCTTTCAAAACATAGCACTGAAACTTAACACTTAAAATTTGTCATGGATTTTTCTGTCAAGAGAGCTACCATTTAAACCTTTGAAATTTGTTAACCTACCAAAGGAAGGATTAATATACTGGTAAAGGAAAACATAAAAATACACACTTACAGGGCAATTGATCAATAAATTATTATCAGATACATATAAAATAATACACTAAGTGAGAATAATATTCTTCAGAATGGTCCCTAGATTAAGTAAAACTTGTTTTACAGATGAGGAGGATGGTTAGTTGTCCGCGCCTGCTTAGCTGTATGTGACCTTTTCGTCACTCACAGTGCGTTGTAAATCTCTATACAAATTTAAGCCAGACTTAGTTAAAATTCCTAGAGAAAGATGTAGCTATCACTGGCTTTCAATATCTATACAAATTAAACTCAGGTTGAATTAATATAAAGTGTTTTTTTCCTAAAGTTGCAGCTACAATTTTAATTTTAAAGTCAACTAATTTTCCCAGAAAACTGATTTCATTCAAGTCAAAGTGGAAATTTAAAAGGGTGAACAGAGTAAAATGTTTAAAAAAAATACAAGAGTTGTGACATACTGAAATTACAATTATTAAAACCATTCACTAAACAAGGTTAAGCTATTTCTACATACAGAGAAAAGTCACTTTTATTACCTAAGGTCAGATTCGACTTCGCTAAGGAAGGCAACAGAACACTTGCTATCTCCATGTTTCATTCCAGAAACAACTAACACCAAAGCAATTTAAGCAGTAAGGAATGTACCTTTACTTAATTTATTTGTTTTGCTTTCATCAAATTACTACTATTCAGTAAGATACACATTTTTTGTCTCTTGAAAAATATTTATTTTCATTTAAAATGTGTCTGTGATAGAAAAGTATGAGCCAATGAAAATAAAATATTTCTTTAAAATGGAGCAGATAATTACATTATAGAATCATGGCAAGCATTTTTCATTGAATGAATACAATTTTCTTTATTCATTAAATAAATACATCTGATGATTTTAAGGTAATTTCAGAAAAAATGGTGAAATATATATAATAATATATTTGTAAAAGTTTTGACCATAGGGTTTACTGAGATAGAAAGTAAATTTACTGAGTCACTGAAATAACTGAATTTAAACCAGATCATCAGATTCCACTCAAACTGTGATCATTCTCTCTCTAGCCTCAGTGGCATTTACCTTACACTGGTCTCTGCACCCCTAGGAACATGAGCATCCTGTGAGGAGTTACCGTGTGCTCCTCTCAGGAAAACACTTTTAACCTCAGTTAATGAAATGCTTAGTACTAAAAAGATGACATATTTCCATACATATCCTCTTTAGGAATTTTTATGTCAAGTACTTTCGAGAATACCTACCTCACAAAGTTGAACACCGGACAATGTCAATATAGAGTTAAGTGAATTAGATCGCTTAAGAAGAAAATTTGTACCTGGATTTTATCATTAAACAAGTAACAGAAGAAACTAAAGCCCTGTAATTTCTAGTTAAAATGCCTTTTTGCCCTTTTGTTTGCCAATGTCTGCTTTCCATGTAATTGTGTTGATATTCTACAGTACCTCACGGGCTTCCTTTCTCGAAGAAGGTCTTCCAGACTCTGTTCACAGTGTTCAGCCACCACCACCAGTCTCTCTGAGTAAAACAGAACAAATCCACTTCAGTTTCGATAGACACATTTTAGTAACAGAATAGATGCTCCACTAAAGATATTAACATAGACTACAAATAATATTTTAAAAGAGCTTTGCAAATTCAATGTCACCTACATAATTACCAAACACATGAGTAAACATGTAATAAAACAATACATGTACATTAAACAACAATGTCTTATCATCCTGTGTTTTTATCTAGAGTTTATCTGGAAAAACAAATGGAAAAGCTTACATTCAGGAAAAAAGGAGGGTTTCTCATTTTGACATCGAATAGGAGAAGGAAAAGCCTCAATGAAAATATAAAGAAATCTTGAAATCAAGGGGAAATGCGGAACTAGGGGCAGACTGGCTTGACAGTCTAGTCAGACACAAGGTTTTTGAAACTGAGTTCAGAAACTGGAGAAAACCTACCATGCCCTGAATCATAATTCTGGAGAAAGAACAGGAAATCTACATTGGATTGCTAGTCATGCCATGGGAGGGAAGGGGGAAGGGAGGGTAGGGGGGAAAATGGTGGTGGGGACAATCAATATAATAAGTTTAATTTTCTAACAGATCAACTGTCAAAGAACAAGTCAGCACTATTCTGAGGGTCAGCCCATGTGGTTTGATTTTTTCCCCATCAATTATCCCTAGTAACTAACAGATTGAGCAACATGGTAGCAGAGCAGTACCTTTTTTTTTTTTTTTTTTTTTTTTTAAATGAATGAGTATAAGAGGAATGAGGAAAAAAGTAAAGTAAAACTGGGCTTAAAGGTAGTGGGGGGATTGATAAGGTTACCTCATGAGATGATCATGGGCTTAAAAGAAATTGACATAGTGGACTATCTATGCAAAATGGGTTCTAAATTAGATTAAGGAGGAGGCTAACACAAAACTTAGTAGACTGAGATGATAAAGAAGTGGGGTGCAGAGAACTTGGGAATAGTGATTACTGCAAAGAGAGAATGAGAAATAGCAAAGGTAGGAAAATGAGCAAAAGATGGTAAAAGGGAATTTCAGAGTAGGAGATCCAGTAAAAGGAGTTAACTCTTAGCACTGACTGGTTCAAGGTATGGTATTGGGGTGTGGGGTTAGAGATGAAGGACAATGGTGAGGTGGACACGTGAGGATAAGCCAGGAGGTTGCTAGGCTGTATCTTGGAAGTTGAAATGATCTGAGGTAGTGGCATGAATGATACCCAGTGCTCTAAATAGAAACTTAAAGAAAATTAAATTTGAAAGAATACTTAATGAAGCAAAAGAAGGAAATGGAGTAAAAGTAAAGAAAATCATGAAATAAAAGGTCTAGTTTCTAGACTAGAATAATTCAATAAAAAGAGGGGCCTCCCTCGTGGTCCAGGAGGTTAAGCACTGCACTATGAAGTGATCTGCAGCCTCTGCAGCACGAGTTCGATCCCCGGCCAGCCAGGGAGCAACCCACATGGCGCAACAGATCTCTCCTGTCTCGCCTGCTGCTCCCCTCAGCAGTGTATTTCAGTCAGTCTGCCTGTTCTGTTCCCCGCTCTGTCTCTGGTTAATCCTCTCGCCCCCCATGCCTCTGGCCTGTACCCCAACTCTTGTATGCATAATCTTTTTTTTAAAGAAATTCAGTTAAATATTTGTGGGTAATCAACACCAATAAACTAGGACACTCTGTCATTTATAATCTTCACTCTGCTGCTCAATACTGCTGAGATTTCAAGTTTAAAAGTAGATTAAGTTGTCAAGTATTTTTGCAGTCTTTTGGCTTTTTTTTCCTCTTAAATATATTTTCTTCAACCTTTCAATTAATAAACGAATCCTGAAAGTCCAGTAAATATTCTTGAGATTTAACACCTCATCCTGCTGATTTAATAAGAAGCTAATATCATCTTGAATCATTTTGAATAATCTATATAAAAAAGGGAAAGCCTAACTAGTGAGCTAACTTATCATGTGAAAACATAATGTTAGTAAAATAGACCACATGTCACATGTAACTCCAAGTAAGGCAGTGACAAGATGTGAGGTATATGCATAGCAAGAACAAGACGAAAAGGAATCAACCTTCTTTGAGGATACAATTAAATGGAAACCAAGCCCAAATCATACAGTGTTACATCATTGAGAAATGAGGTGTTCACTTAGGAGACTGTTGAGCAGAAACTTTAAGTTTTCCAAACTACATACAACTAAAATGACTGTGATGTTTTGGAACAAACAGACCATTACATAAATACTTATTCTAATCCAGCTATTTACTACTTATACTTACAACTTTTCAGGAGAGAGTAATGCCAACATAAACAATATAATTAAATTCTGTAACTTTTTGACAATCATTGAATATTTTTATTTCAGGCAGTCAAACTTAACATATATGAATTTTACAGATGTCCATGACATGTCATGCTTTAGTAGAGAGGGCTGTTGAGATGTAGGAGCAGGGGAAAGAGGGGGAACAGAGTAACCAGCAATATGGTGGATGTGTTTCATGAATCTACTGAGACTATTGAGCTTGTTTCAATACTAACAGACTCTAACCGTGTCTAAGGGGATCAGTTCCTATGTTGAGAACTACAAAGAAGGCTTGCGTGTGGAGTTGGCAGTTCTGTCCTGCAAAAGAATTATAAGGATTTTGCTACTTTGGTATTTATGGGGGCTTATTTTATTTCGGTAGAGGGAGGAAAACATGGAATTTAAGACATATCGAGAATTATTGAATCAATTATTTTAAGAAAAGAAATCCCGAGGAAACCTGAACAGAGGCAAGACCCGAGTCATGTGAAGTGAAGCTCCAAATGAGCTTCCAGCACAGTGAAAGAGGCAAGAATGCTTTAGGATGCGAGAATGAAGACCTTCTCAGAAGAGTACAAAAGCAAGAGGCATACCACAAATTTGCGGACATTAAACAGTAAGACTATAATCACTAGGTGATAATGAGGATATACTATACTGCCAAGCTTTGCTGGGAGTTATTTGAAACTGGGACAACCCAGTAAGAAGAATTTCTTTAGAATATGTAATTGGATATGAGGGTGTATTTGACATATTGTCAGAAATTGAAAATATCTATAATTGGTGATGAAAAAGCCCCAGTAATCACATAATTCACAAACTTGTAGTTAATTTCACCAAAATGAATTACCAAATAAAACATTTCAACAAAAGTTTGGTTTAAAAAAATATCCTTATAAAAAGACACAGAGTCGCAGGCTGGATTAAGAAACAAAACCCAACCTTTTGCTGTCTCCAGGAAACACATTTAGCTACAAAGACAAAAATAGACTCGAAGTTAAAGGATGGAAAACAATCCTACAAGCAAATGGGCCAAAAAAGAAAGCAGGAACAGCTATACTTATATCAGATAAAACAGATTTCAAACTCAAAAAGGTAAAAAGAGACCCCAATGGTCACTACATTATGATCAAGGGGACAATACTTCAAGAAGAAATAACACTCATTAACATATATTCACCAAATGAAGGAGCACCAAAATATATCAGACAACTATTATCATCTTTGAAAACAGACATCAGAGAAAACACATACGTAGTGGGAGACTTCAACACACCACTACCAACAATGGATAGATCAACGAGACAAAAAATAAGTAAAGACACTAAAGCTCTAAATAAGGATCTAGAGCACTTGGGCTTAACAGACATATATAGAACACTAAACCCAAAAAAATCTGAGCACACATTTTTCTCAAGTGCACACGGATCATTCTCCAGGATTGATCACATACTGGGACCCAAGACAAACATCAACAGATACACCAAGATTGAAATCATACTAGCCATCTTTTCTGACCACGAAGGCATCAAACTAGAAATAAACCATAAAAAGAAGGCAAGGAACTCTCCTACCTCATGGAGATTGAAACCCACACTACTGGAAGTCCACAGGACTAATGAGGAGATCAAAGAAGAAATTAAAAAATTCTTTGAATTGAATGACAAGGAGGACACCAATTTCCTAAATGTATGGGATGCAGCAAAAGCAGTAACAAGAGGAAAATATATAGCAATAGAGGCTCACATCAAGAAACAAGAAGGAACTCAAAGAAACAACCTAACCTCGAAGCTCAAAGATCTAGAAAAAGAACAACAAAAAAACCTCAAAACTAGTAGAAGAAAAGAAATAATAAAAACCAAACAGAAATAAATTAAATTGAATTAAAAAAAATCCAAAAGATCAATGAAACCAAACCTGGTTCTTCAAAAAAATAAATAAAATAGACAAACCCCTAACCAGGCTCACAAAGGAAAAAAAGGGAGAAAGCACAAATAAACAGGATCATAAATGAAAGAGGAGAAATCACAAAGGACACAGCAGAAATCAAAAGAATAATCAGAAACTACTATGAACAGTTATATGGAAACAAGTTCAACAATCTACAGGAGATAGACAAATTCCTACAATGCTACAATCACCCAAAGCTAGATAAAGAAGAAATAGAACACCTAAACAGACCAATTACAAGCAGCTCTGTTGGTGGGAGTGCAAACTGGTCCAACCACTATGGAGAGTTGTGTGGAGATTTCTTGACCTACTAAACATAGAGCTTCCATAGGATCCAGCAATTCCACTCCTAGATATTTACCCAAAGGACACAGAAACATCAATTCCAAAGAGCACCTGCACCCCTGTGTTTATAGCAGCACTGTTTACAATAGCTAATCTTTGGAAACAACCCAAATGCCCAAAAATAGATGACTGGATCAAGAAGATGTGGTACATATACACCATGGAATATTACTCAGCATTCAAAAAAGATAAACACATGCAATTTGCAGCAACATGGATGGAGCTGGAAGGGATCATGCTCAGCGAAATAAGCCAGAAAGAAGGGCTTGGGGTCAAAATAAGGGGGTTGTAATTGTATGGGGAATATAAAAATAAAATTTAAATAAAAAAATAAAATAAAAAATATTCTTAACAGCAACAAACCTGCCAAAAGTTGCTTTTTAATCTTTTGCAAATGGCTGAGCTATCTTAAGGTGTATTGTAGTTACCACTAGTCTTCACGATTAACTTGAAACAAATTAGAAGGACTCCCCTCCTCCAGAATGAATTAGAGAATCCAACTTCCAGTACCACTTATTCCATTAGTCGGAAGCTTTCAGGGAGTGTACAAACTGCAAAACTCAATATAGTGGGACTGATTGTGGCTGTCTACATTGTTAAGTATGTGATATGTAACACAGAAACCTAGGAACAGGTCAAATCAACTTTGGAAGGTCTGTGACCTTACATTAGAAGTTCTCAAGTTTTTCTTTAATAAAGAAGATAAATTTTATCCACAGCCCTTGAGTAAGTGCTTTTAAATCCTTTTTTTACATTAGGACCCTATTTGAGAATCTGATGAAATGATAGAGTCAATATCCAGAAAATGAATACACACACACACACACACACTTTTTCCCCCTTTTTTATACAAGAGTTGGGGTACAGGCCAGAAGCACGGGAGGGTGAAAAGATTCACCAGAGATAGAGTGTGGAGCAGAACATGCAGATTGACTGAAACACACCACTGAGGGGAGCAGCAAGACAGGAGAGGTCTGCCGTGCCATGGGGGTATCTACCTGGCCGGCCGGGAATTGAACCTGTGCTGCAGAGGCTGTGGACAGCTTCACAGAGCTGTGCTCAACCTGCTGTGCCACCGGGGAGGTCCCCCCCACACTTTTATATATAATTTCAGAAGAGTCACAGACTTCTAATGCCCATTTCTAGGCCCTGCAGCTCCTGAGTTAAGAGTTGCTATTTTAAACTGTCAAATTTAGCTTCCTTAGATGTTCATCCCATAACTACAGACTTCCCAACTCAGAGATCCACACCCAAAAGAACAATAAAGCCAACTTAACCAGATGTGTTCAGAATACTGCCTATAACAACACACATAGGAGATCTCAATTCCTCCAAAATAGTCTCTCCACCAATGTCTCCACACTTCACCTGGACAAAAGGTTGTGTGAAATTACAAAGCTTGCAAAAGATCCTATTTCCAGTTTTTTTCTTTTTTTAAAGATTTATTTTCATTTATACAAGGACAGGGGTACTGTCCAGATGCGCAGGTGGGTGAGAGGATTCACCAGTGACAGAGCGGGTAATAGAACAGGCAGACTGAAGAAATACACTGCTGAGGGGAGCAGCGGGTGAGAAAGGAGAAGTCTGCTCGCTATGTGGGTTGCTCTGAGGCCGGCAGGGATCGAACAGGCACTTCAGAGACTTGCAGATAGGTTCAGAGTGCTGTGCTCAACCGCCTGCACCACCAGGGAGGCCCCCTATTTCCAGTTTTAGGGAAATACCTAAAGATTAATTCTTAATATATCGCCTCATTATAAAAATAATTTGAAGCAGCTGGATCTCCTACTTTGTCCTGACTACCAGAAATTTAAATAAAAATTTAAGTCCACACAAAGGAACTGCATATTAATATCACTAACCTTACATCTCGCTTGAACTTTCCTCCTTTCTCCATCTTGATTCCATTTTTTTCATGTACTATCTTTATAAAACATTATATGTAAGCTTCTCACTTCTCTGAAATTTTTTTGAAAACAGTAAGATTATTATTGAGAAATATGATTTCCCTCAAAAAGAGTAAGAATGATTAAGGGTGAAACTAATGTTTAGATTTGGTTTCTTTCTTTTTTTTTTTTTTTCAAGATTCATTTATTTATTTATACAGGCACTGGGTACAGTCAGAAGCGCGGGAGGGTGAGAGAATTCACCAGAGTCAGAACAGGGAGCAGAGCAGGCAGAAGGACCAAAGTACACTGCTGAGGGGAGCAGCGGGTGGCAGGAGAGGTCTGCGCGCCATGTGGGACCCTCCTCTGGTGGCCGGGGAGCAGCCGGGGACGGAACCATCACCGCGGAGGCTTCGGGCAGCTTTGAAACCCAGCGCTCAACCGCTGCGCCACCAGGGAGGCCCTAGATTTGGTTTCTTATGAATATGTTGGCCATAAAAGGTCAGTACGTCTTTTGAAAATCATTAATCCTTTTGGATCTCCAGTACCACTAAAACAAACGAATGTAAGTATATGAAACTGCAGAGACAGAAGAGGCAAACATCTTTGTTCTAGACTCCCTAGCGACGCCAAAAATTTATATACAGAAGTTTGATAAATAACATTCTTCATTGAAAAATTTAACCTGGTATTGCAGAGCACACTGTAAATCAAATATTGTAACAACTGTTATTATATTATAATCTTGTTTATATTTTTCTTCTCTACTACTTCTGAACTAACTCAGGAACTGGGATCATGTCATCTTCATTTATCTGATACCTAGCACAAGAAGGAACTTGGCATCGGATAAGAGTTTGTTAAAAGATTATAACCCCAATGGACTGAGGTTATATAGGCAAAAACACACAGTAAGAAATATTACAATGAACAGGAAAGACTGCTTCCTAAACAAAATTTTAACTCATCAGCATCTTTTTAACTTTTGCTTTAATTTTAGCTATCAATTAGCTCTGCCCTACATGTTTGCTTGTTTTAGAGAGGGATTGACTTATGGCTTCAAAATGGCCCCCAACCACGTGAGAGGTTAGACTAAACCTAAGTAATTACTATTATTTGCTGAGAAGATTGATCAAAGGCAACCTTGCACAGTAAAAGAAGCTCCAGTAGAATGACACAGAGTTCCACATGTGTGTAAGGGCACATATGAATATGAAAAATAAAGCACTTTTATCATCTGTGAGACAATTACTTTACCATCATCTTTCCCACATCTCTTCCCAGCTTCCTGGTATAGCTAATGTTCAAGGGTCTAGGATGTGATAGAGTACCAATTATCTAAGGCACTGTATAGTACTAATTAAGAGCATGTCAATATTTGTATTAAGACACATCTCAGTTTTAAAATTTTTCAGCACATGAGAAAATGTATTATTATCCCAAATTTCTTTACTTACTACTTGTGAGACTTTGGATTAATTAACTAGTTGCTCTATACCCCAGTTTTCTTATCTGTAAAATGAGATTAGTGACGGTTCCTACCTCCTGGTAATGTTATGAGAATGAAGCTAATCAAAATACATAAAGCACTTAGAATACTGCCTAATATTTAATAAGCATTCAATAAATATTAGTCATTAATAACATTCATTACAAAAGAGCTCTTTATACTCAAAGTTTCTAAAACAAAATTATGCTCAGAGCAAATATTTTTAAGAGAAACAACCCAGACTACTTGAAAGTACTGTTTAGTCTATTTTTCAGCAAAACAATAAAGAAAATGCATTTTCTTCAGTCTTTAATATTAGGCTGAAACATGAAATCACCATGTATATAGGAAAAAACATTTCAACATCAGCAAGTGTGTAGTGTTAACAAATTATTTTATATTAGAAAATTAAGCACATTTCACTGAGATGCATTTAAAATAATTTTAAGATATAGAATCTCAGCATGCAATTAAATTTCCAAAAATAATTTTAAAATAATTAAGGATGGCCATCATAAGAATCTTTAGTGAGGTGCTACAGATTGAATGTTTGTGCCCCACCATGACCCCTAATCCAATTAATCCCTAATGTGATGATGTTTGTAAACAAGACTTTTTGTAGGTGGTACGTTCTCATGAACATGACTAGCGCCTTATAAAAGTGGCCCAAGACCTCTCTTGGCCCTTCCACTATGTGAGGGCACAGTGAGAAGGCTGTCAATGAGCAAGCATGCCTGGCCAGACACCAAATCTGTTGTCACCCTAATCTAGGACTTCTGACCTCCAGAACTATGAGAAATGAATGTTTGTTGTTTATACGCCACTCAGTTTAAAGTGGTTTTTAAAAGCAGCCCAAATAGATGAGGATATGAAATGCAAAAACTCAACTGCATTACGAAAAAGCAGCAAACAAAGTGCTAGTGAAACACTGACTATTTAACCGATAGGGGTCAAGTTGTCCCCTCAGTTCTCTAAGTGGAGTCCTATTCAAAAATACTAAATAAAATTTACTGACTTCCTTTGCATTCAGAGAGTTAGCACAAATTACTATTTTCATTCACAAAATACATTCCAGTAAAAAAATTCTTCAGTTTCTAACATCAGAACTTTTATTTACTTCTTATAGAGGTGAAGAAATACCCATGGACAGGTGGTTTCCCTAAAAGAGAAAACTAAGAGCCTTGATTCCCAAATCTGAACAATATGAATCACTCAGATATGACTGTTCATTCATTCATTCATTCAAACAAACACGTGTTGCATGCTCCCTGCATCTAGGTGTGGTACCACAGCATTATCTAATGGGGTGAGTTAAAATTTATTGAATTCTTATCTCCAAGAACTAAGAATCCTCAGAAGAGACAATTTAAGTAAAAATAAATATATGATAAAAACTATAAAAGTATCAAAGAAAAGGAATGAGCTCAAATTATAAGGAATTGGCCATAGCAAAACCCATGAGAGAAAATAGTGAAGTATGAAAACAAAGATATGTGAAGGGTGACAGAAATCAGGAAAACTCACATGGCTCAGCTTGGAGTGAAGAAAGAAGGTGGCAGTAACCACAGAAATATACCTAAAGAATACAATGAGGCTAGGTTAGGAAGGTGCTTGCAACCCACACCCTGCTAAGGAGTTTGTATTTCTCTTGGCAGATATATACATAAATGAGAAAGTATGAAAATGTGTGTGTGCATGTACAATATTTACTACATATTTATAACCAAACTGTGATGATACACTAGAGAACAGGAGGGAAAAAATTCAACTCACCATGCTTTCCTCTAGAAATATCCACATACTGGCACAATCTGGGATGGGTAATGGTCTTTAGGATTTGAAAGCGCCCCAAAATCTTGATGGAATTTGGTGTGAGAGGAAGTCCATTGCTTCCACACACATCATGTGGCAGAGCAGAGGCAAAGAAGGTAAAGGCACCCATTTCAGCATCCTTCAAAGGAAACATTTTCAGGGTCTTAAATCTTCCAGGATAATCTAGAAGAAAAGAGAATCTTATGAAAGATCAACCAAACATTAAGTCAGCATTTTCTCACCATAAATAATAAATAACTTGGAGGGAAACATCAACTGGAAAATTTCACACTTAAAAAAAACATATAAAAATAAAAAAATAAATTAAAAAAATCGAAGTTAAAATATTCCAATAAAATATTGAAGAGGAAAACTCCATCACACATTTATATTACAGATGTAAAATAAATAAATAAAAAGCAAAGATTTGCAATGGAATAAAAAGGAAAAGATAATGCATTCTATCTTTAATAACACCTGTTTTAAGAAAGTAATGGAGGTTTATAGTGCATATTCTAATCAATAAGACTGTTCTCTTCATCCAAAACTTAAATAACCCATAGACCTCCACAAACTTCCCTTCTCACAGAGTCGGGGGGAAGAGGGGGAAGATCTAATTCTGTACAGTTACTACCCTGAAAGCAAAAGAAGGCAAGGTTCTTTGAAGAAATTAAGCCAACTCTGAGAATAACACTGCTTTTATTGGCACTGCTGACAAGTGCCTCCTAAATCTGGAATTTGTAGGACATCAATTAAGATCTGGCTGTCCACCCAGCCATCCTAAAACCAAGTATGTCAGTCAATAAAGCTTATTCATTTATGCTGAGCCTCCAGACAGCGTCGTTAACTCTTAAATAATAAAACTTTTTATTATTAAAAAACTTTATTATTCTTAAATAATAACTACCCAGCAATCATAACATAAGTGAGGCAAGACTACAGCATAAAGGGTGAGGAATAAAGTAAGAAACAAAAAACTCTGCCCTGGAACAAATGATATAATTTATGCAAACTAAGGAAAAACCATCTATAATATACTTCGAAAGATTTGAGGAGATATTATACCTATTGAATAAAATAGAAGCCTAGGAAAAATACATTTCACATAAGAATAAAGAGAAATGACATATATATTTCAAGAAAAGTTCATTAAAACCACATTAGAATCTGGCACATAAGATAGTAAAAATTAGGAAAATAGACAAACCATAGTGTTAAGAGGACATGGAAATACAAAATTTCACCTTCATTTTAAGTGAAAACATAAATTAAATTCACACTATCACTTTGGAGAACAGTCTGCCACTGTTTTCTATTCCATTCCTGCAGAAGCTACCACACACAGGCAGTGGATACATCAGGGTGTTACTGTTGCTGATACCCCTAAACTGGAAGCAACTAAAATGTCCAGACTACAAATCAAATCCCCTTGAGATATCATCTCATACCTGTGAGACTGGCTCATATGAAAAAGACCAGAGGCAACAAATGTTGGCGAGGATGGAGAGAAAAAGTAATTTTTGTACACTGTTGCTGAGAATGTAGACAGGAATAGCCCTTATGGAAAACAGTAAAGGGTCCTAAAATATTAAATATAAATCTATTACATGATCCAGCAATCCCACTCCTAAGTATCTACCTGAAGACTGCAAAAACACTCATTTGAGAGGACATACGCAACCTTCTGGTCATTGTAGCACTATTTACAATAGCCAATTCAGATTAACAACCTGGGTGCTCAACTACAGATGAGTGGATTAGGAAGATGTGGTGTATATATACACAATGGAAAACTACTCAGCATGAAATAAAGATACACTCTTGTCATTTTTGACAACATGGATGAACTGGAGGGGATTATACTAAGTAAAATAAGCCAGATGATAAAGACAAATACCAGAGGGCTTCATGTACATGTGGAATACAGAGAAACAAAACAATGGGTAAGAAAATACAAACCAAGAACAAATGCTAGAAATCTGTAAAATTGAGGCTAAAAGAGTGGGCAGGGGAGGGGTGGGGAGCAAAAGAAGGGGGTCCAATGTTGCCTATAACCCCTATCAGGACTATGGTGGGACTATGGATGTCTTGGTTGAGGGCATGGTGTGGTAGCACACACCTGAAAAGGTGTGAACATAAGCCTCTGACTCATGTACAATGCAGTAAACCAACATAACCGCATATATATATTCATAAATTGATGTGAAAAACATAGTTTATATATATCATTTGGAATTAAAAACTAAACATCAAGAAAACTAAAACTGTGATAACTTCAAAAATTTGGAGAAAATAAGTTGTGGGTGATGTGGGCTATCTTAAAGCATTAATTTAAAAAAAGAGTGAGACATTTATTATTAAACATATCGACCTAAAATTAGAAAAGGTTAAACGGGGTTGCTCCTGAAGAACAGGACTGATGGTAGAAGGGGAGATTCTGTACTGTTACTTTTTATTATGCAATCTCACTACATTGTAGTATTCTACTTGATTTTCAATTAGCCATTTCTAGCACTTAAGACAACTAAAAATCAAAGAACCAAATAAAGAAAACACTAATGATTCAAAAAGATGAAACATTCATGGGTGTTGTGCTTCAACTAAGTCTTCGATGGCAACACGTAAAAAAGGCTCACACACGAAAAATACACACACTAGCTACAATTGGTGAGTGGGAAGAAAATAGCAGGGAAAAATGTGATGTGAAATGCTTGTTGAGGAAAAACAACAATGGAAGTAGTTGGGTTTCAAGGTTCATTCACTCAACAAGTACCTTGACGCTCACATTTTAAGTCAGGTGTCTCCCAGCTCATGGGCTAACACAATGAAAAACAACACATTCTCTGTCCTCCAAGGACTTGGAATGGAAAGACTCAAAAGGGGTGTGGGTGAGGGGGAAGGTCCCACCAAGGACAAAATGTTTCACCCCGTATGAACAGTTTACACGTTTCTTCAACAGGCAAGTAAAACTAGTTCACTTATGTCATAGGCCTTCCCTCAAAAATTCTGTCACAAATAAAGGAGCAAGAAGCCTTGAAAACCAGTCACTGACAATTCGAAAACAACTCCCTTTCACTACGTGACGTCCTCCCACTCCACAGGGAGTGTGGCATTGTGACAACTGCCTAATCTTTGAAAACTAAGACAAATAATGAGTTTGCTCGAAGGTGAGTAACGGAGAGGCATGTTCTCACTTTCTAATCTCTTTAAACCTTCAACCAGTGACGCGTCGGTCACTTTCAAAGCTTCACCTCCAATTTCCCAAGGAGTCGGGTGTCGGATGACTTTAGGGGGGTGGGAGGGTGTCGCCCGCGAAGGACACAGGCTCGGCGGCAAACAGCTCCACAGACCGGCTCCATCCCTCACAGCGGAAAGGCGGGAGCCACTCGCCGCGCCTGCTATTCCGCCACCTCCCACCGGCCCCACGCACTCGACACGAAAACTGGGGCCCCCAAATACCTGCCTCTGAGGCGGGGGGTGCAGGCGGGCCCACAGACAAGGGGACGGAGCTTCTCCCCAGGGCCTCAGCGCTGTCGCTGCGACTGTGACTGCCGCCACAGCTTAGGGCAGCAGGCCCTGCATTTCAGGGACGTCTGCAATGGGTCGGCTCCTGAGGCGCGGGGAGCGCAGAGCCTGCCCTTGACAGGCGAACTAAATCAGCCACAACTCCCAGCTGAGACCATGGCCTGGAGCAAGCGCCCGACCCACTTCACTGACAGGTGCCGGCGCTTTCCCTCACGCTCGGTTCAGTCAGGCCGTCTCCTCTGACGTCACAGTCCCGCGACGCAACAGTGGGCAAAGCCCCCGACCTGGGCGTCGATCGCTGTGCCCAAACTGATGACCAAATGTAGCGAAGAGGAGGTGCAGGTGGGTTGACATTATCGACTAAGGGCGTGGAAAACTGGGAGCGTGATGTGCTGCGCACAGAAACGGGGTAACGGAATTTGGCGTGGCCTCTGTGGCGCGCTCAGGCGCTTGGTGGGGCAGCCCTGCGGGTCCTCTTTCACCTTCGTCGCGTGTGCGAGGCCCACACTGCCTGCTGTGGGCTGAGGCGGTAGCCGGCGAGTACCTGTGCTGCGCTTCATGTGAGTGACGCTCGTCGAGGGGCCTGGGGTAGGCGGAGGACGAGTGTCTCAGCCTCCTTCCCTTCAGTCGAGTCGGGGAGCCTGGGCCTGGCCTGCGGCTGCTTGTCTGGGGTCTGCTCGCGCCAGCAGTAGTGTTGGGCTCTGGGAAAGTAGGGGAGAGCTTGGGGCACTTTGAGGGAACCAAGTTTGACGAATGAGATGTGTGGGTTAAGGGAAAGAAAGAATGTCCCTGGAAACGAAAAAATTCACAAATGTGTGTGTGGGGTGGGGGGGCGGGGGCCAGGCAGGCGGGAGCACGGGTGACAGGAATTAATTCATTCAGTAATTATCATTAAACGCCCACTGCATTCCGGACACGGTTGTAGGGATTGTATAAAGAGCAGTGAACAGAACAGAAATTTCTGTTTCCCTCTGGGTCACATTTTAGATTGTAATAAGGACTGAAGATAAAAATAAATAAACAGGGAAGGAGATTATAGGTTGAAATTTGGTGGCCAGGGAAGTTCTCCCTGAAGAAATTACTTTGTAGTTAAGAACTAACAGAAGTGAGAGAATTCACCATATCCTTATCTCCGGGAAATGCAGTAACGCCGGTGAACCAGCCTTTACAAAAGCTGCGAAGCAGAAACTCGCCTGGACAGCAAAGAAACGTGCATGAGAGTTGAGTGCAAAGGTTAAATTGAAGACAAAAATCAGAGAGCAGGAAGAGGCCATAAGAGGAACTTAGGGGTATTTAAACCCTTGGGTGGTTTTGAACAGCAGAGTGATAAAGACCTGACTTTTAAACTTTTAAGCAGTCTCCAGACTGCTATCTAGAATAGACTGGAGGAAAGAGTAGGAGAAAGACAAGTTAGGAGGCTTTTACATGCCTTTGTCCAGAGGTGTCATGATGGTGGCTTCACTAGGGGTGTTTGGAAATGGCCAAAGAGATTCTTAAAGCTGTTTTTTTTTTTTTAATTAAAAATCATTCTTAAAAGTATTAAAGGTATTTTCCCAATCAGTGGGGTGTCTTTCTGTTTTGGTTAATGTCTCTTTTGCTGCACAGAAGCTTTTCAGTTTGATGTAATCCTAGGTGTTCATCTTTTCCAGTCTTTAAATTTTTTTTAATTAATTGAAAATATTTTTTACATCATTGTTCATTTTTAAACAATATTTGCTTCCCCCCACCCCCTAGAGTAGTCCCTATAGAGTTTCCTTCACCAGTGCACCCGTGCACCATCACCTCAGTCCCCTGTGTGAGATTCTTAATGCTCTTAATTTAGGTATGTAAGAATATTAATGGATGGTGATTTTAATTTTCTTTATTGGGCTTAGGACATACTTTAAAAATGAATTGTAGTGTGAGTTTCAGAGTGAAAAACATAGGTTAAAATCATGGATTTCCCATTTGCTATTTGAATGGAATAATTTATTGTCAAATCATGAGTTCCAAGTTTATAAAATGGAAATGTTATCTCACTCGATTGTGAAGATTAAAAGATAACGTGTGAAAAAAAGACAAGACAAAATAACTATATGACTTGAGACATTCATTTTGACTCATGCTTTGTTCTAGATGTAATGGAGATAATTACAGTGTTCATAGAAGATCTATATAAAGCATTTAGCCAGTCTATTAAAAAAATGCTCTGCCAAATGTTATCCTTTTCTTATTAAGGTTATCATCTGTGAGAAACCCTATGCAAGGGTTTGAGGAGACTAAAAACCTTGAAAATTTTTTGAAATTCACCTGCAACTAAATATAAAATTAAAAAACAAAATGTAGCAGTTAGCACAGAATAATGAAATGAGCACCAAGCTGAGTAGTGGAAGATATGTCTGAGTTTCAGGCATTGTGGTTCAACACTGTTGCCCTAAACATAACTATATTTGAAAAAAATTTCTCTGATTTACTGTTTCTCTCTCTTGTCTGAAAGCTTAGTGGGCATAAAGAACATGTTTATTTTTGCTCTCTGCTATAATCCCACCACATGGCTTAAACTCAGAGACTATAAGTAAAAGAAGGATCTTGGAGTTATTTTGGGGATCGTGGGAGGGAAGATGGCAGACAGCAGGGTGTGGTGAAGTCCATTTCTCTTTACTTAAAGACATTCTCATTCAAACAGTGTTAACTTGGAGTACAGGCAGCCCTAATCTATGTGATGACAGTTTGTAATCTGTATAAAAGACTGGAGATCAGGACCAAATTCTGAAAAACAACGTTAAAGAGAAAAGTCAAGAAAAAAGAACACTAGAAGGAAAGGCCAAGAATGTAGGAGGGATCTTCATTTAATAAACTCAGAAAATGTAGCATAGAGAAGCTAAGTAACTTCACCAAGGTCACACAACCTGTTAAGTATGTGAGTCAACAAAGATTTGTTAGCTGTAGTAAATACTGGGTATACAAAGTCTGTGTTCTTCTGCCAGTGTTAGTGAAAATTATCTGCAGCTTACTAGAAAACATTGAGATAAACTTGGGCATCTGTTTATATTTTTGAAAAACTTACGTTACAATCAGTGAGTACTAGACTTTTTTAATAGTGCATCTGATTCTAAAAATAATTCATCACGTTTAGCGTTTGTGAAAAGTTATCAACACATAGTGACTAGAAGCTAGTCCAAAGTATCTCACAAGATTGGGAAATTTTTAATGTTGATATCTTGAATAAAATTTCTGAGATAATCAGTTATCTAGGAGTAGAGAAAATATAGAGATAGTTTAACAGCTAATGCGTTTTATAGTCATTGCTATATTGTTTTATTATTTTTATTATACTGTGGTATTTATCGTTAAAGTTAAAATTATCTAAAATTTAGAAGACATGTGAAGATAAATAAATGTATAAGGTTTGACTTAATCTTCAATAATCTATCATGTCCTTTTATATGTAGGTGAGATAGGCTTTTTTAGTGGCATTTTATTTAAAAAAAATTTCATATAGTTTTCTTATAAAAATATTCAAACTAAATTTGGTAGCTGGGTTTTAAGCCATTCCCTGCCAAACTGGAATTATTATAGTCATGACTGGTTGTAATACTTTTTGTGTTTTCAGTTGGTGATAGTAACATTTGGGTTTCACAAAAACTGGGATGACAAGTCTTGTCATTTTATATTTCCTAATCTTAACACCTTTACATAATGATGTTGAATATTCTGTGTTGTGTGTTGTGTTTTTTTGACCAGTATCATTGAAAGTTTTTTTTTTTAGTAAAAAGCTTTTCCTTTATTTTTTTTCATTGAAATTTTTTCATTGAAAATCTTCTCTTTATCACACTGTTTCATTTGCGCTTGTATGTATGTACTTAATAGTTGAGTCTTTGTGTGTCTGTGTTTTGAAACAGGTGCTCTTCCTAAACTTCAGTGCTTCAGTATGTTACAAGAGTCATATTTGATTAACTTTTGTAACTATTTTTCAGGTAGCTGATTGAATTGAAACTTTTTGTCTAAGTGAAGACATGAGTTTCACATCTTTGTTTTTTGTTTTTAGTAGACTGGCTACTATTTATGAGATGATTTTTTGGACCTGTTAGTGAATTAAAAAAAAAAAACTTTACTTAAATCTATTTGTTTCATATCAGTTTAGAGAGTAGTTTGCTAGGGTTCTTCTAAAGTGGAACTAATTTCACATTCACCTTAGTATTACTCATCAAATTTTTTTTGTCAAGAAAGTGGAGTTTCAAATTCTATCAGGTCAAATGCTCATTATTTTGCTTGTTTGTGATAATCTTTTTTCATCTATTGAATGTTGATTTTATGTTAGACTAAAGTAGATCTAGACAAGTGCTTCAGTAGGATACTGAAAATTTCAGAAGAAAGTAATCATATTTTCATTTGTATTTGTCCATTTGTATTTTTTCTGTAAAATTCTGACTGCAATTTGAAGGAGCAGCAACAAGCTATTCTGTGTTCACTGTAGTAGACAATGGCAGTATTTATAAGGTGATGTCTTCGTTCAGTATTTCGCCTTTTTTTTTTCCACTGTATTTTTCTAAACTGTTAAACATAGTCTGTTCAGAAAACAAGCAGTTTACTATGGCTTCTCCAGATTAACTTTCTATCTATATTTTCTTATTTTATTATCAACTTAATTTTCAGAGTTTTTATAATTGCTCTTACATCATAAATTGTTAATTTTAACAAGGTTTTTAGAGGTAGATTTCTTTTATTTATTTTTAATTTAAAAAATTTATTTTATATATTTTTTTCATCATTTTTCATTTTTTGCACAATGTATGCATTTTCATCTTGGTTATATTCTCCATACAATTCCCACCTCCCTTATTTTGACTCTAATCCCGCCTCTCCTCCACCCCCCTCACCCCCCTGTGTCTCTGGTTTATAGTTGCTTCAAAGGGTCAGCATTTCAGAATGTTCTTTATATAGGATGGATATTGCATAATTAGAATTTTAAATCATTTTTCCATTTTAACCATTTTTTTAAATTTTTCTTTTTCAAAAAATTTCACTAATTTTTGCACATACATTATTTATTTAAAATTAGATTATTTCAGCTGTATTTATATAGTTGTTATGCTTTAAGTTACAAATTAATGTTAAATCAGGTAAGAAAAGAGCGATGTTGGTTTAACGATTAACCTTTTTGTCAATGTGAGTATCTCTCTTAATATTTGGCAGTTTAAACTTTAACATGATGAATTAATCTCCAAATGTTTGTTTATGTGTATTTTCTGTATGTTGGCCGGGTGTTTTCCAGTTTCTGGGAGTTATTATAAAATTAAAATTCCTTTTTTTTTTTTTTTTCATAAAAGGCACAACATATATACTATCATTTCAGAGTAGCCATATGATTGACATGATGTTTTCCTAATTGATCTTTTTCTTTATTGTCTTTGCTATTTTCCATGTTCCTTCTTAAAATTTTAAATCATTACAGAGTAGAAACATTCCCTACAACAAAGTAACAAAGAAGGGCCTCCCTGGTGGCGCGGTTGCGCAGCGCTGTGAAACTGTCCGCTGGCAGCACCAGTTTGATTCCTGGCTGGCCAGGGAGATTCCCACATGGTGTGGCAGGCCTTCCCTGTCTTGCCTGCTGCTCCCCTCAGCAGTGTCTTTGGTCCGTCTGCCTGTTCTGTTCCCTGCTCTGTCTCTGGTGAATCCTCTCACCCTCCCATGGCTCTGGCTTGTGCTCCAGCTCTTGGATAAATAAATAAATCTTAAAAAAAAAAAATAACGAAGAAGAGATGCAGCAGTTCTCTTTTCTTGGGCATATGTGATGGCCCTTCCTTCCTTGTCACTATTTTGAAATTTTCTTTAAAACCTTGACACTTAAATATAGTCACAAAGGTCATTTATTGCTTTGAGAAAACAAATTGATTTCCTGACAGATTCAAGGATTAGTCTTTTTACTACATTTGCATTTTTGGTTTACTCCTCTATATAGGAAGAGTGCTATTCCGTTACAGTTGAAAATGTCCTTTAAGTCTGCTTTTTCAGTCTCCTGTACAATAACTTTTTTCCTTGTATGATATAATTTATCACTTTTATTTTTTCATTTAGGATTTTCTGCCGTTTCTTTGCAAAAATGGCAACCAGTGATGCTGTTCTGAAGAGACTGGAGCAGAAGGGTGCAGAGGCAGATCAAATTATTGAATTTCTTAAACAGCAAGTTGCTCTTCTTAAGGAGAAAGCAAGTAAGCAAATTAAAAATTTTCTAAGGAGAAAGGTAAAATGAATTCATACATTGCCAACACAAAAAGGTTGTTTACCACATAAATTATTACTCAATCATTTAATGGTAATTTTTAGATTCTTTAATATTTTAATTTTGAGTTAAATAATATTCTAGGGTTAAGATAAATTAGAATTGGCATATAGTGAATGTATGGTATGCAGAGAAAGCAGTATATTATTTCAAGACTTTAAAGGAAGATTGATTTTAAGATAAGTTGGAATGGAGTTAGAGATAAAGAAAATTGGGTGAAATCAAATGGGATCTCCTCAGTCTTATATAAAAGAATGTATACTTTCATAATACTTTTTATGGAGGTATTTTCTGAAATGATTTTTATATTTTTACAATATTTCTTTTAGGTTTTACCAAGAAATTTCTGTCATATATACAAAAATATCAGATTTGAATTTCTGCTTCAGAATTTGAGATGATTTTTAATTTCCTGTGTGTGGAAATGAAAGTGAAAGATTTTGGTTTAATTCATTTAAATATATTTAATTTCTCAATAGCCTATGTTAATATTGAGTCTTTTGCCGTTCCTAACAGAAACAAATGCTTTTCTCTGCTACATAAGGTTGAGTAGCTTACAGAATCCTACCTTTACTCTTCAAAAAATGTTCTCTTTATCAATTCATTTTTTAAATAATTTAAAAATACTGTTGTAGTTATTACTTTTCGTAGTGTTTTATATCATTTTAAGATTATTTTTCTTAAAAGTGATAAAGGATTTTTCTTACTGTTTTCCCCAGAATTCTTTCCATTCATAAAATTGATTTTTTTTCCCTATTGGTAAACTGGATTTTCTTGATAATAGTCTTGCAGGCAACTTTGAGAGAAGAGAAGAAACTTCGAGTTGAAAATGCCAAATTGAAGAAAGAAATTGAAGAATTAAAACAAGAGCTAATTCAGGCAGAAATTCAAAATGGAGGTGATTAAATATAGAAATGATCATTTGCTTTGAATTATAATAATTATACCATTTATTATTAGGTATTATGCTTGATTTCTGATCTTTTCCTCACAGCAGCCTTTCCCCTGCATTCATCTTCTTTGTAGAAAAGAAAGTGGACACTGAGAAATGATACTGCCTGAGGGCACACAGAAAATGGCAAACCTGTGTTTTAAAAACTTGTGCTTTTCATCTGTCTATTCTACTTCAACTTGATCATCACAGTTCCATATTGAACAGTTACGGACACTAAGGCATAGTCATTTTTTAACATTAGGTTTTACTGTGCACCCAGAACTTCATATGCATCAAGCATTTTACCCTAATTTATCCAAAATCATATTCAAGTCAGCAAATCATTATCATTTCAACTATTGTGTTGTAAAGAAAATTAAAAATTTGTTATTTTAAAGAGTTTCAGATAAAATTGTATTATTATGATATAACAATAATAGTTCTATTACAATTTCAAAATATTACAATGAAATGTTATTAACTATATTAAAAATCCTTCCACTATCAGTTAAGGGGCCCCAAATCTAGTGAAAGAGTGTCTTTCTACTTCATTTTTGGCCAGTGAATTATTCTGCCATTGAATTTTTTTAAATGCTAGCGTATAAACTCTACCCTTATATAGATAAAATGAAGTATGGAAAAATCAGTAGTTACGGGCCTCCCCTGGTGGCGCAGCAGTTGAGTGCTGGGCTGCGAGGCTGCCCGCAACGTCTGCAGTGCCGGTTCGATCCCCAGCTGCCCCTGCCCACAAGGGTCCCACAAGGCGCGCAGACCTCTCCTGCCGCCCACTGCTCACCTCAGCAGTGTTCTTCGGTCCTTCTGCCAGTTCTGCTCCTTTCTCTGGCTCTGGTAAATTCTCTCACCCTCCCGCACTTCTGACTGTACCCCGGTTCTTGTATAAATAAATAAATAAATCTTCAAAAAAAATCAATAGTTATGTTGAAAACTATCAACTAAAGAGAATATTTGTCAGTGGGAAATTTGAGACTAGTTGATAATTCCAATACTAGGTGATTTGGAACATAGATAAAGAATTAAACCAGCAGTTAATATTGTAGCACTTAAAACTGCTTTTTATTTCTTCCATTTCTAGAAAATTGCCCAACAAACATTAAACTTTTCAACTTTGATCTATGAGATGGTAAAATAAACCAGTGGTTTGAAGTAAAGTATTGAATTTTTCTAATGAAGAAACATAAAATAGGGATACAGCTTGATGTTCTTGAAAGAAGCGGTTAAACTCCAGAGATTTAAAAATATCTCAGAAAACTCATCTGAACATTGGCCAGAATCTAAACCACATCAAAATCCCTCCCTAGATTATTATATCTCCATGTTGGTTGAGCTGTGAGAATGTTGCTGACGTTGCTGATGGAATTTTATTTTCTTGTTTCTTGAAATAAAATCATGGGCAAGTAATGCTCTCTCTTCATTAATTCTGATAAAGAAATTAACTTTCTGAGGTGATCGTTTAATATAAGAGAAAGTCTCAGTGGAAAACATGCCATCTTATACAGTGTGAGATCGAGTTTCTGTGAACAGAATATTTGAGTATAGGTTCTTACTCCCCACCCACTCTCTGTATGGTGAGCCAGTGTCTTCACTTTGTAGAACTCAGGCCAATCATCTGTACATGGGAATATGGTTAGAACTTCCTGCTCAGGGTACTTTTGAATTGTACAATGTAGTTCATTGAAAGCATTTTATAAAATACCTGGAACATAGTAAGTCCATAATAAATATCAGGTATTATTGCTATTTGTAATTTTTTTGTAATTGCTATTATTTGTAATTCACTTCAGTCATTCGTAGCTAAATGAGAATAATTCATTTATTCTTTTATTATGATTAATATATCCTTAATTTTTTGGTAGCCTTTGTACAATCTCTTACAGTAGAGGCTTAATAATCATATATAGTGAGTTTCTATTTTGAAACAGTGTTCCTTTTTGTGATTCACAATTTCATAGTTTTCATCTTTATTGCTGATTTAATATGAATGTCATTATCTGTTTCATTTTTGTTTCAGTGAAACAAATACCATTCCCATCTGATACTCCAATGCAAGCTAGTTCTATGGCTTCTACAAATGTAATGCAGTCTGTTCCAGTAACAACCATATCTGCTGGTACCAAAGAACAGATAAAAGGAGGAGGAAGAGGAGAAGAAAAGAAGGTGAAAGAGAAAACTGAAAAGAAAGGTATTTTTTATGTTAAATCTTATTTGACTCTTTTTTGAGACAATATCAACATTTTGACCGCGCCAGATTGTGATTTTGTTGTTTTTTCATTGAGGAAATATTAGTTTAGGAAATAGTAAATTATTGAGGGGAATGTGTTCACATCTCAAGTTCAGACCTTTAGGAACTAGTTTAAAATTATGAATGATTTTGGAAATCTTAGGTCCTATAAATCCCATTAACAAAGTATACGTAGACTCCACCTCAGCTTCTTTTTTTATTTGGTGCTACCTTAGTTTGAGTTCTTCTGATCTCTCTCCAAAAGCATTATCTTTGGTAGTTTATATTTAGCTTGCTGTTCATGCTCTTTTTTCTAAGCATAAATCTGACTCCTTTTTATTACATACTCCTTTACTCCTGTTACACTTCATTGATCCAGATATGTCTAAAATAATGCGTATATAATTCCTTATACATACCTCTCATAGTACTTACACTCATTTACCTTTTTTTTTTTAAACTATAAAATAGCTGAGGGTTTGTGAGCTCACCTAAGCCAGTTCTGCATCTAGAACTTGTCAACTCCTTTTGGTAAACATGAGTCACTTCTGTTCATTTAAGTTAGACAGGGCTGTACAGCCTCATCTGTATCACTTCACCACTTGGTGGTATGGTTACAATGAAAGCAACTCAGTGCATTTCTTCCACTTTGTAAAATTTATTGAGAAATGTCCTCAAAACAATCATATAACTTGTTCTTATAAGTTTGGTGAGATCTATGCTCAGTTCCCTAGACAAAGTCTGCTGTTATTCCCACCAAAGGGTCAGTTAGCCTGAGTCAAATGAGACAAAAATCTTCCTTTGGGTGGGGAGGGGCACACAGGACCACATGGATCTCTAGGTTTAGAACTCCTGTCAATTGGAGCTCTGTGTGATGATGGAAATGCTGTTCCTCTCTATCACCCAACAGCAGCCAAGAGCCACATGTGGCAATTGAGCATTTGATATTTGTCTGGTGTTCTATAGAACGGAATTTTTAATTATTTTTCATTTAAATGTAAACAACTCCTTGTCACTGACATTGAGTTGTTGGGATTTTGGGTATTGCTGATAAACAGGATCATTCCAGAGTGTTTTTCTGCTACATTGTCATAGCAAAATTCTTTTCCTACAAGGTCTGTGGTGCCCATAAGTCTTCATACATGCCTATAAGCATCACTTATTTTCAGTCAGACATTCCTAAAATCCTTTGTGAAGACTAACAAAGTTCTTGGTATAGATTTTAGTATTTGTAGTGACCTCTGAAGTGTGGTGATTAGATACTCCACATGCCTGGCAAAGTAGTTCAAATGTCTGGGAAATGGATTCAAGTTAAAAACAGGGCCTCCTTGGTGGCATAGGGGTTAAGTCTCAGCACTATCATGCTATTACTGCTGTGGCCTGAGTTTGGTCCCCAGCCAGGGAGCAATCCCACATATGGCACAGTAGACCTCTCTTGTCTCACCCACTGCTCCCCTCAGCAGTTTATTTCAGGAGATTTGCCTGTTGCTGCTCCCTACTCTGTCTCTGTTGAATCCTCTCACCCCCCTCCCCCCATACCTCTGATTTATACCCCAGTTCTTGTATGTATAAATAAGTAAAAATACATTCTTAAAAAAATGTTAAAAACATATGGATATAGATATAGTATACTGTTATATGTAGTTTATAAAAAAAAATCTATAGTTTATGACTTAAAGATATCTGCTCTTAAGATTTTTTGCTGTATTTTTTTCTAGCAATTTTATATACATATATATATCATTTGGCATTTTTACCATTAAAAAGTCTTTGTTAACTTGTTACTTGAAAAGTGGTATTTTTACAAATTAGCTAATGAGATTAAAATTGTCAAGTATTTTAGATGATAATTCTGCCTCCTTTTTTAGAACTATAAATTGTGAATAACCTTTACATAACTTCCTTTCCCACTGCAGCCTGAATTAGCCTCCTTTGTTTCTGTATTTCTTTGTGTGTGATGTTTACCACATATTCATCATGTAGATGTCAGTTTTCCTTAAAGGAGATTTTTGTGTGCCATGATGCATGGACCACTCACCTTATACTTTCCAGTGCCTTAAATCTCAGTAAATATTTGTTCAAAGATTAAACATAGGCATAGTTGAGAAGGAATGGCTTCCAAACCATAGTAGTTTCTCTTACCTCTTTTGGTTGAAAGATCATTACAGATTTATTTGGTTTCATACTCTCTTCTGCTGGAGAAACTAATATAAACTTGGGGACTATGAACTCTCATTATAGGTTGCATTTTGGCTCATTAAATAATATTATGTAAGAATGAGTTACACTGTTAGTTTATAAATAAAATTAGGATTGATTGTTAAAATACAATTCCAATAAAATGTTCTCATACAGTTGCTATAGATAAACCTACAATTTCATCAATCTTCAGGGAAATCTAAGAAATAGAGAATTCATCATTTACTTACCAGTGTGCTTAACTGGTGAGAGAAACATTTCACCAGTGAAACTAATGTTCACTTAATTCATTTCATTGGTTAGCTACCAATTTTGGTATTGTTTTTTAGTATCAGGTTTCTCACACTAAGAGTCACAGTCTACAGCTGTTTTAGGGACTGATACACTTGTTCTGCAAAGGGCCATTTAGTTAATGTTAGGCTTTGAAGGCATTAAATTTTTCAAATTATTGAATAACTCTTTGTTATTATTTAAGTGAAGGTAGATTAAATAACACATTATTTTAATCTTATCAGTACTGATGCTAAGGAGTTTTTCATAGTGTATTTTTGTTTTAACTTCTGATGTGTTCATTCAATATTTTTTAGGAGAGAAAAAGGAGAAAAAACAGCAGTCAGTAGCAGGAAGTGCTGACACTAAGCCAGTAGATGTTTCTCGTCTGGATCTTCGCATTGGTTGTATCATCACTGCCAAAAAGCACCCTGATGCAGATTCTTTGTATGTAGAAGAAGTGGATGTTGGAGAAACAGCCCCAAGAACAGTCGTCAGTGGTCTGGTGAATCATGTTCCTCTTGAACAGGTAACCTGTACAGCTGAAATTGCTGCTTGTTCATTGTCACCTCTGGTGCTTATTAGCTTTGTGAACTTGGACAAAGTCCTACATTCATTCATATTTCTAGATGCAAATAATTATTGACACCTGAAATATAGCAGGACCTATTTTAGAAAAGGGAATATAGTAATGACTCAATACAGACAGATACATAAGTTTTTGTTGTTTTTTTTTTTTTTTAAGTATCTTTGTGACATATTTCTATGGGCAAGTCAGGAAATTATAATATCTAGTGTTTTAAATGGTGATAATTCAAGAGAAAAATGAAGTAGGCAAAGAACCTAAGGAATATTGAAGCTACCACTGTATCATTTCATATAAAGCGGCCAGGGAACACTTTATAAAGAAAGGGACCTTTAAGTAAAGATAGAAGAAAGACAGAAAACCAGTCAGATGTCAACATGGCAGTAGAGCATTTCAGCAGCCCATGTCACATGTCATCTTGGGGTCTTCAGTGAAGACCAACACAGTGGCTGGTGTGTTTGTAGCAAAATGTGCAAGGGGGAATTCAGGCAAAAGAAGTCAGAGATAAGGGTTCCAAGTGACAGAGATCATGTGAAATGCCCGCTGGCTTTGATTCAGGGTGAGATGAAAGTCCTTGGAGGGTTTTTTGAGCTGAGGAGTAGCGGGTCTACCTCACATTAATGTGATCATTGGGGTTGCTCTTTTAAGGGGCGAGAGATGGAGTAAAGAGGTAAGTGAAGAAGTTTTTTTCTATGAAAAACAGACCTGACACATACATGCGGCTTTTTTTTTTTTTTTTTTTTTTGCTTTTTATAATTCATCTGTTTAGGCTCTCATAAGGCGCCTTGGAGGAAAGAACTGATCTTGAGCCAGGTCAAATTGAAAAAACTCATTATTGGGGCTTTGTCGTTTCCCTCCTTATAATTTTATACTATTTCTGCTCTTCCAAAAACTGTAATTCACAGCTATTTCAAACAAAAATATCTATATACACATCTGTGTCTAACCAATCAAGGCAGTACTAGTAAACATTTTATAAAGCATTCTATTAGTTCCTCAAGTTGCTTGCCAGCTTTTGAAGGTTTATGTATTTTTCTAAGGTAAAGGTCCACAGAGTTATTGGATCTTTAAAAGATTACATCTCTCCAATCCTATAGTTTTTCTTATATATATTCTTTGTACCACCCAAATGCCCAAAAATAGATGACTGGATCAAGAAGATGTGGTACATATACACCATGGAATATTACTCAGCATTCAAAAAAGATAAACACATGCAATTTGGAGCAACATGGATGGCACTGGCAGGGATCATGCTCAGCGAAATAAGCCAGAAAGATTTATTTATTTTTGTACAAGAGCTGGGGTACAGGCCAGAGGCTCGGGAGAGTGAAAGGATACACCAGAGACAGGTGGGGAACAGAACAGGCAGATGATGGAAATTCACTGCCGAGGGGAGCAGCGGGCGCGACAGGAGAGGTCTGCTGCACTGTGTGGGAATTTCCCCGGCAGGCCAGGAGTCGAACCAGCGCCCAAAGGCTTCACAGTGCTGCGCTCAACTCACTGTGCCACCGGGGAGGCTCTGTACCTTTTTTTAAATGCTCATATATGTGACATTTTAAGGTTACTTGTTTGACACAGTCTTATTCATGAAGAACTTAAAAGGGGACTTTCGGAATTTTTTTAATCTTAGAATTTTGGGGTATTTTTGCACATAATATTTATAAAACTATCTAGAATGCATTTACTTTTTTCTGGCAGTGGTAGTTCTCATCTGTTATTTTAAGTTAAATTTCTTCCATTAGAAGAGTTTAGATAACTTTGTGCCTCATTTTTGCTAGTTGAGGAAAATTTAAGACACTTTAACTTTTGAGGATCAAAGAAATGTCTGTTCTATAACAAATTGTAGGAGAAGCTCTAAATATTAATTGCAGTATGTGTAATGCTTGAATAAATGGCCAATATCTTTGATTAAGAAATTGAATCTTACATACTATTGAAAATGACCAATTGTGGAAAGAAAAATGATTGTGCAGTTATTTTAATACTAGGACTTAGCTCAATACTTTTCATATCTGTTAGGATTTAATCCTTGTGACACCTTTTGAAGTCCAGTATCATGCCGCTCATTTTGTGAGGAAACAGGGACAATAGCTGCACGGTCTTATTGCTAGTTGATGGCTGCTGAAGTTCAAACCAAATTAGATTCTAAGTCACTTATTCATTTGTTCAGTAACAATTTAATTGAAAGGCCTTGCCTCTGCTCTCTCCACAATAATGCACTGTCCATTTGTTGAGCTTTTTTTTTTTCATTTTTACATAAGACTTCATAGGAATAACAAGATTTTGAACTTGTGAAGATACGGCCACAAAAACAGGACATTTGATATTTAGCATATTTGTTGTACCTTAATGTATTCTAGTTCCTGAGTTCTGGTACATCTTTAATTACCAACTTATATTTCATACAGATGCAAAATCGGATGGTGGTTTTACTTTGTAACTTGAAACCTGCGAAAATGAGGGGAGTGCTTTCTCAAGCAATGGTGATGTGTGCTAGTTCCCCAGAGAAAGTGGAAATCTTGGCCCCTCCTCATGGGGCTGTCCCTGGAGACAGAATTACTTTTGATGCTTTCCCTGGTAAGTATTCATTAGTCATTATTTAAGGTAGCGTTGGAATTATTGTCATCAAAGCAATGCTCGTAATAGTGAAGTGTCAGATCAACCCCATCTTTTGCCCTGGGTAAAATACAAATGTTTATACTTGCAAAGTGGAAGGTGAGATACTGACAGAATGTGCTGCAGAATCACTGTCAGAACCAGTTAATACTCAGAAGGTAACAGAGATGAAAAAATTCAAAGATCAGATGTGGTTCATTCTCAAAGTCCATCTTATACTTGTATGTGCTTTCACTTGATTTAAAGATACAGAGAAAATCTCTGAGTTCAAAGCCATTTATTTTAATACTATAAATGGAAATTTCATTGTGCATTGCTTGTTTTCTCTGCTAAAATGCTGGCCAGACAGATGAAGCATCATAATGCGTGTGAAATTTTCTTCAAGTAGGTCTTTGAGACGGATGAGAATGGATGCTTGGCATATGTAGAATAAATATTTCATATATAGCGAGGACCTCAAAAGAGTAACAGAAATTAGAAGACTCTGTTTACTTAAAGGATATTCATATGACTAGAGTAATGGGAAAAACAAATTAATTAGGGTAACAAGTAGAATTAGTTTTAAAAGTCAGAATTGATTTGGAGGCATATTTGTAGAAACAACTGCATTTTTTTTTAAAGATTTATTTATGCATACAAGAACTGGGGTACAGGCCAGAGGTGTGGGGAATGAGAGGATTCACCAGAGACAGAGCGGGAAACAGAATAGGCAGATTGACTGAAATACACTGCTAAGGGGAACAGCGGGCGAGTCAGGAGAGGTCTGCTGTGCCATGTGGGTCTCCTCTCATTTGGGGATCGAACTGGTGCCGCAGTGGCTGCTGATAGCTTCATAGGTTGTGTCTTAACCCCTTGCACCACCAGGGAGGCCCCCGAAACAATTTTAGTGGAATATAAAAGCTGCTGTAATTATTTAAGGCCTGTTTCTTGATCCTGTGTTAAATCAATAATGTTTTAACTTTTGAGTAATAATAGAAAATATGTATGAAAGTGTGGGTTAATTTCCTTGAAAAGCAGCTCTCCATTTCTAATTAAAAATGGATGAACCTAAAGAACATAATTGTATCTTTGAAGCCATGTATTTATCTTGAACCTTGGTAGATTGAAAATCAGGCTAGTTTTGGGAAAATTCCCAAACTTGAATCAACCAACTCCTTTCTCCAAAGCAGCATGAAGTCGGTAGGTTCTGGGGCCATATGTTTGCCACTCCAACCAAACCACCAAACACTGCCCAAACCTCATGTTTTGGGCCAACCTGTACCTAGCAAACATGAAGTTTTATGAAGAAGTCTTACTCACTGGATTGGAATAGACTGACAGTCAAAGTAAACTTTTAAGTTTCAGCACACATTGAAGAAAAAAAAAAAAAAGTTTGGTTTACTGCCCTATTAATATTTGCCTTCTTTTTTATTTAAAATGTTTTAGTGCATTTTTTTTTTCAATAAATTTGAGTCAATTCTTTGTTACTAAAAGAAATCATCTACTTTTGATTCAATAGTTTGCAAATTTGGAAGCTGAGACCCACCAAAATTCAGTTACTTGCTTAGTAAAGATTATCTAGAATTTAGGAAAAAGAGGAAACAATGTGTGTCTTTTGCTGAATCTCTACTCTGAGCTGTTTTGTTTGATTGTTCTTTGCTACAATTTTATATGGACTTTCATTATTGAAGGAATACAATTCTTTCCTTTCTGTGACAGCTTCATTTTCTTATCTCGTAGAATTAATATGTAAATAAATATTTCAGCTCTTGAATCTGTTGTTATCTGGATGTTACTGTTTAATAAAATGAAAGAAAGTCTTTTTAGTTGCCCAGTGGAGTAACATTGGCTTGCAACACTGTAGATGATTTAGAGGTATAGGATCTCAGTTCTTCAGATCACATTACACCTACCAACAAGGCACCCAGAGTCCTCTACCATGGTGGATTGCACCCCCTCCATATTCTGCTCATGCCTCCTCTTTCCCCCTTCCCTTCTCTTGACCTCAGTTCTACAGTCAGATTTCTAGGGTTTGTTACTGGTTTGTTCTATGTGAACCTTTGTTTTGTTTCCCAGTGTTTTCACATATGTGTGAAACTATCTCTTGCTTCTGACTTGTTTCCCTTAGCATTTTCCCCTCCTGTTCTATCCATGTTGTCACAAAGGGCTAAAGTTCACCTTTTCTTTTGTAAATAGCTGGCTAGTATTCCTATGTGTGTGTGTGTATACAGCACATCTTAGTCTACTCATCTGTCCTTGGGCACTTGACTGTTTTGTGCATTAGTACATAAGTATGGGGATAAGGTACAAAAATATTTGTAAATGAAAGAAGGGAAGCTTTACTTTAAAGTTTCCCATGAGTTTGAATTACTCTCAGCACTTAAAATTTGCCTAACCCAGTGGAACAGCATCAAATAATTAATATATTTTGGGACATGCAGTCTGTTAGTACTCATCTCGCTTGTTCTTCCACATCAGTTACTGCTTCTGTAGCAGTAAATCTGAAAGGAAATAACAGCTAATACAACACAACAGACCATTAGTCTTACTGTTTGTTTTTTTTTCTTTTCCCAGAGAGAACCATGTTTTATCAGTGCTTTATTTTTCCACATCTGTTTTATATTGTAATCCTTAAGGTATCTGCTGGTACATTTTGATGTTCACTGGATGTGCTTATTGTCTTGAGATTTTCATTTCGTGTGCTATATATTAAGTGTCGTACAGAAATTGAAATTGGGGCTCAGCCCTTAGAGTTGCTGTTACGCCTTAAAAAGACTTTTACACCTAACAACCATTTTCTCCAACTACAAAACCAAAAAGTTCCACATAGTTTAAGAAGATGCCACAAATATTTCTATAACAATGGCTAAAACTCCTCCCCACCCAATGCTTTTTAAAATCTTAAATGTGTGAAGCTATAAATTTTAGCATTTAGGTATGGTCACTGCTCCCTAAAGCAAAAACAACTTGAAAATAATAATGTAGATAGGAGAATATACTGTTTTTCGGTCTAATAAAGAATGAGAATTTGTATTCAGACTTTTTAAGCTTCTTGTTTAACTTCCAGCATTCCTATTTTTGTTGATACTGAGTCTTATTAATAAATACAGGTTAATGGTTAATCACAAAGCATAATGAGATGTAAGAGTGTTTAACTTTTGGATCTGTTCTTTCTGTAAAGTAAATGAAAACTTGGCCCTATTTGACTATCGTCTCTGAAACCCATTTTAGTCACCAGAAATGCTGTGGTCAAGATTGTCAGGTGCTCCATGTAGCTAATGCATGACTGGTTTTCAGTCCTTTTCACTATTTAGTTTCTGCACCCACACTTTTCTGGTGCTCTCCCTTGCATCAGTGGCTGCTCTTCTTTTCTACTAAGCTGACTCTTCCGTACCTCCCTGATCTCTTAACTTTGGAGTGTCCTTGACTTTCTCTTTTTCTTTCCATGTTCATTTCCTTGGTTATTTTCTCCATCATTTATCCAGGTGTCCACTAGACTTTATCATTAATACATCCTGTGGAAGAAGAATATACATCCCACTCTGTACCCTAAAATTCCCTTTTTTTGAAAAAAGATTTATTTTATATGAGAGCTGGGGCATAGGCCAGAGGCACGGGAGAGTGAGAGAATTCACCAGAGACAGAGCAGGGAGCAGAACAGGCAGACTGACTGAACGCGCTGCTGAAGGGAGCAGTGGGCGAGACAGGAGAGGCCTGCCACGCCATGTGGGTTGCTTCCTGGCCAGCCGGGAATCGAACCTGTGTTGCAGAGGCTGTGGACAGCTTCACAGCGTTATGCTCAACCCACTGCACCACCTGGGAGGCCCTAGAATTCCCTTTTTTTGTGTTTTTTTTCCCCATATGTTTGGACAGCAGCTCCATTCTTCTAGTTGTTTAACTTATTTTGTTTCCTCATATATCTTCCCCTTCAGAAAATCCTAGTAGTGGTGCCTTCTGAACTTATCTGGAATCATTTTCAGTATCTCCACCACCACTACTACTTTGGTCCTATTGCCAACAACTCTTGTCAAAAATACAGAAGCCTTTTGCTGATCTTCCTTCTTTTCCTGGCCCTTGTTTTGTCTGTATGTTCTGTTATAGCAGGCAGAGCAATGTGGGTCTGATTACATTACTTCTCTGCTCAAAACTTGGTGTTTCTTTTGACCAAGAATATAAACCCAAGTCCTCACAACAGCCTCCATTATCTCATTAACCTTATGCATGCTTGACTCTTCCTCCATCATTCTGGTTGAGCTACTCACTGGCTCTTCCTCCAGCTAGCTGCATGCCACCTCCTTTGCTTTTTTCTTCTCCAAACACTTAGCATCTATGTCCACTGCATAGCTTATTGTCCGCCCACATGGAAATGTAAGCACCATGAAACCCAAGATTTTGTTGTTATTCACTGTTGTATTCCTATCATCTAGAAAAATGACTGTAATAGAGTAAAAATTCAGTAAATTGGTTAATGAATAAGTGGAAGGAAACTTGGTAATAATAATTAAAAAAACAAATCCACAAGCATATAATATTTGGAGAACAGACATGAATATCAGTCTTCATTGTTGCCAAGATCCCCCACATTTTATTTTTATTGGTTGGCTTTGTAAAATTAACTGCCTCCCCTTTGGCAAAGTTTTACTTTTGTTTTTGTACTGTAAATGGCAATAGTTACAGTTATTCAAAAACTCAGTTAATCAAATGTAAAATAATTAAGTTAGTGCTAGGCTTTTTATGGCCATGGCAGATATCAAACAAAAGCTGATGATCAATGAATGTTTATTGAGAAAGGCCTACTGAAGATGACATTTCTGGTTCTTATTCCACACATACAAATGCCAAGGATTCTGGAATTTGTATTTATTGTTATCTAGGTTTTAAATGCTGGGAAGGTGGTCAGAGCTTGTCATATCTGTGCAAACTCCTCTGATCTATTTCTTATTACCTGTGTGGTTCAGAATGAACTGTCCTAAAATAATCTCTGAATGATTAGTCTCTTTCAATATGTATAACCATTTCCCAGTGGTGATTATTGGTGTTTGTCTAGTGATTTCAGGGACTTTGCAGGTTTTAGCTTTAGGAACTTTTTATTGATATCATCAGTTGACTTCTTTGGGTTGCCATGCCAAAAACAGAGGAGGGGAGAGAGAAAGAGAATTCAGAAAATAATTCATAGAAGAAGCTCATACCACACAGGAATGATGAAAGGCGTCTTTGGAAAATATAATTCATTTAAAAAGAAACTCTTTAAACTATTAGCTATGTTTTTCACAGAGGTAACGTAAACTCTCAGTTAAAACTAGCTTTTTACCCTACAATTAGTACACTGTTGAGTAAAATTTTGAACAGTTTCATCTGAATCGCTGTTGAAGTCTTGGAACTATATTCAGAGTATTTGGGTATTGAGTCTGTGGTATTAAAAAATGGCTTTGGAGTTGAGCTTTGGAGGTTCCTCTTGATAGTCACTAGTTCTAGTTCATTGTGTGTAATTTAAAAATCTTCTCTTGACTCCCATGAGTGCTGGTGGCCTGGGAGCCTTGCTCAGCCTCAGCCTTTTCATCCAGAAGCAGAGGTTTTCCTGTAGGTATCTCTCACTTGTGGGATTTGGGAGCTTTAACTTTTGAAACGCTTAGCCAACTGTCTGGTATTTTAGTTTCTTAGCTTCAAATTTTGAGCCCAATGTCCTCATCTGTAAAACTGAGTTGAGTTAATCACATTTATTTCATGTACTGGGAAGAATAAATACAGGTGCGCTTTAGTGCAGTGACTGCAGGGGTGAGCACGCTGTAAGTCTTCCGTGTGATTCTGGACGTGGTTTCCCATACATGGCAGTATCTTCCTGGACCTAAGAAGCTCAGTTCTGTGGCTTTTTTTTCTAGGGACTCATTTAGGTTTGCATTCAGCAACAAGTTGCCCACACAATCTGTGTTCTCACTGTGAAGCTTTTACACAAATCTGCTGTGCTCTGCTCCGTGAACTAGCGCATTATCATTCAGCCATTTTTCCCAGAGGATTGATTACTCAATGCTTCCTGAACAGTGTCTCTGCTGTTGGCTTTTCCGAATTCTGGAGTGCTCACTCCCTGCAAGGTCTGTGTCCAGCAGAGTGGGTTTGTACTTTTCTACTGAGAAATAGTTTAGATGAAAAATCAAAGTTTTACAGATTTCTATTCTGTTTATTAGTTTCTTGTCTCTTCAGATACTCAGAATGGAGGAAATTTCTCATATTTTATACTTAGCAGTCATTCAGATTTAGTCTCGTGTAGTCTTCTGTAGTACATACAGTGCTTCGTGAACTCTTCCATCATCTTTGAAGGCCTTTGTAACAGGACAATTTTTTCTGTTCTTGCCAGTCTTGTGGCAGTTTTGAAGAATTAATAAAGAAGAAAACTACCATGGGCAACAAATTTACTTATCTTTTTTATTCCTATATATGTATGAGTAGAAAATAAACAGTTTAAGTAATAAGATGTTATAGAATATGGAATACGATTAGTCCCAGTAATATTTAAAGGCTTTTTTTGCAAGTAATTCTAAGAGACAATTGGGGGCCACTTAGAAATACAGTCTTCTTATCGTTACTGAATTATACTTTTGTATAATTTTATTCTCTTTATTACCTATTGGAAAATTATTTTCTGAAGCAATTTTTTACCCCACTTGTTACTGAACATCATCAGCTACTAAGTGATGTTTTGTTAAGCTTTATTCTCTACTTCCTTATTACTAAGTAGAAAAATTGCTTGATATATTGGCTGCCTTTAAGTCTAGACCAGATATTTTCTATAACTTTCTTGTTCTTGTATTGGTAGTGAATTTTACAGTGTGCATTTTATTGTAAGGAGGGGTAGGTTATCATCTACACATAAGAGGGTGATTTGCTTCTTTGTCGTATATAGTTTGTCAGTAGACAGGGTCTAGCCAAACATGGACGCTGCTGTCAAACCTTGGCTCCACTTTTAACTGTGCATCTTATCTTCTCTGGCCCCAGTCTCTTTATGTTTAAAGTTGGAGTTAGGGTTGTGTGAATTCTTGTCTCCTCACTGTTGTTCTCTGTCTCTTTCCATCTCACCAAATGGGCTGGGCACCAGATGAAATCTAAAAAGTTACCCTGTTTAACTGGTAAGCCCCAGCATTTGAGCTCTTCTCTAGTATTGACAGGTAACTTTTAAGCAGTTCTGCAGCAATTTAGTCAGTTATTTTGTATATTGAAACCTATAAGGAAGCATAAGCTGCCCTTCACAATTTTTCTTTTTTTTTTTTTTTTTTTTTTTTTATAGAGGCATGCTTTATTTATTTGTTTGCTGGTTTCTTTGTTTTGTTTTGTTTATACATGCACTGGGTACAGTCAGAAGCGCGGGAGGGCGAGAGAATTCACCAGAGCCAGAGCGGGGAGCAGAGCAGGCAGAAGGACCGAAGTACACTGCGGAGGGGAGCAGCGGGCGGCAGGAGAGGTCTGCGCGCCATGTGGGACCCTCCTCCGGTGGCCGGGGAGCAGCCGGGGATCGAACCGGCGCCGCAGAGGCCGCGCGCAGCTTCGCAACCCAGCGCTCAACCGCTGCGCCACCGGGGAGGCCCCACAATTTTTCTTTATGTACTACCACATATATTTTTGCTTTAATGACTGGGAGAATAAATTCATTGTACTATATTTCCTGCAAGAATATTTATTATGAGAGTAGAAAATAGTATCTTTAGTGCCTCCCCTGGTGGCACAGGCGGTTGAGCGCCATGCTGTGAAGCTGTCCGCAGCCTCTCCAGCGCTGGTTCGATCCCAGCCCACTGGCGAGGGTCCCACATGGCATGGCAGACCTCTCCTGTCTTGCCTGTTGCTCCCCTCAGCAGTGTATTTCGTCAGTCTGCCTGTTCTGTTCCCCACTATATCTCTGGTGAATCTTCTCACCCTCCCACACATCTGGCCTGTACACCAGCTCTTGTATTAATAAATAAATAAATCTTTAAAAAAAAATTAAAAAATTTTAAAAAATAGTATCTTTAACATTTGCTAGGAAGTGACACACTATTTTGTTTCACCAATCAAGAATATAAACTGGCATCATAAAAAGTAAGTGCTAAAATTCTGACCAGTTCACAGATCAGAAAGTACTGCTAAGATAATTCACTGGAAATCTCTGTGGACATTTTATTTAATATGTTAGCTATGTAATTTTTCCCCCTACAGGAGAGCCTGACAAGGAGCTGAATCCTAAGAAGAAGATCTGGGAGCAGATCCAGCCTGATCTTCACACTAATGATGACTGTGTGGCTACATACAAGGGAGCGCCCTTCGAGGTGAAAGGGAAGGGAGTGTGCAGGGCTCAGACTATGAACAACAGTGGAATAAAATAAAGTAAAATACTTCAGCTACTGAAATAATAATAAAAAGAAATATGCTGGTCAATTGTTAACCTAAGATATAACTGGCTCATTTTGTGTTATTTCTCTTCTAGACTTGACTAACCTTTCAAACCTGGTATTTGTTGTTTTCAACTGATTGGAGAAACACTACATTTTCACCTTTCTCATTTGGGAGGAAATTGCCTTTTTTAAGATGATTTATTTCTTAGCATGGGTGTAGATTAACAGATTGTATTTTTTCTTTTTACATTTAGATAGCTTGAAGTAGGTAAGCATTTAGTGTCTCATTTGTAGGCATATGATGCATGAAATGTCAAGCCTTTGGATTTTTAGTACAGTGTGTATCTGTATTATAAATGCCCTATCCTCTTCAACAATGACAAGTTAGAATTTGATCAGGTTTATTAATTAGTCATGTTTTAATAGCATTGAAAATGACCAGGTATTGAGTCTAGAGAGCCAGACATCCTAGAAACTAGAAGACATGGCATGTGAACTTTATTGCTCTTGTTGCCAGAGTCATCCAGGCATTTATATGTAGGGTGACCTTTCCACAGCACTTAAGTTTCCAACTGTGCGTTGAACTTTTTCTTTCCATTTAGCAAAGTAATTAGTAATGAATTATGACAATGGCATAAATGCACTGCCTGGTGTTGCCAGTGACATTTCCAGTGAATTGACAGTGAAAATAGCAGTTTGTATTTTTCACTATAGCTGATTTACAGATTCTTTGGGTACCTAAAAAATATTATAGTTTATTATCTTTAGAAGAGCATTTAAGATCAAGATATTTTGCTTTTCCATGTACCCTAATATTGTCAATTTTAAAGTAATTATAGCCATAAACTTAACAGACATGTATATTAAGATGTAAAATACCTATTTTCACTCATCTTACAGATATTGTAGGAACAGTGAAAAATAATTTAGGAATTATGAGCTTCAAGTTCACCAGCCTACACATGATGACTGATGATTTGAGCTTCCAAAAGAGAAATGCATCCTTGGAGGTAGGAGTATAGCTATGTTCAAAAGAAAACCCAAACATAGAATATTTTAGCACTGTAGCTGTTTATGGTATCTAATAAGGAAAAGCAAAATAAGAAAAGGAAAGAAAAAATGTTTTTTGAACAGTTCTGCATGCCAAATTTAAGATGTACAGTAAAAGTACATTTAAATTCATGGAATTCTAGTAGGCCAGGGCTTGGTACTATTATGAAGTGTAGTCTTCTTTGTGAAAATATGAATATCAACAGAGCATCATTAATCTCTGTTGACAGGTAAACAGTTAGCTAAATTTTAGTAGTTATTATGAACTCAAATTAATGTTATTTGGGGAGTAAAGACTATGGCAGTCTTTTGTGATTCTATGTTATATAATTTTTCCCAATTATATTAAATTTCTTTATGAAAGTAAAGTAATTTAAAGGATGTTTAATCTATTTAGTTGAAATATTCTCAATTAAAAAGTGAAATATACTGGTGTAGAATAAATTACCTGAAGTTTTGATAGTGAAACCAAAATTAATGATTATATCATATATAGAACCAGAAATGCTAGTTTGTTCTTTTGCTAAAGCCCATGATGTAGCATTGCCAGTAATTGATTAATGACTGAACTTTATGAATTTTTACCACAAAGGAGTACATTACAAAATTTCCTTTACCCCTTCTCAAAATTATACCTTGTTACTGTTACCAAAACACCATGCTTCCCTCTGTATTGCCCCAAATCTTCAGTACATGAAAGTCTATGTTAAAGAGTGCTGAAGAGGAAGAAGTTGGGGAGTTAATAAGGAGCAAATTTCCAGGCTCTATAGAAATCATTACTCAATGAGCTATCAGTGTTGCCCCACTTAGTTTTTGTTTTACAGAAAATTTAATTGTTCTATTTGTGTTGGAATGAACAAGCAGTCAGAATTAACAAAGAAAATGACTTTTATTAGTGAATTGGATGGAACCCTCTGGCTGGTCATAGCTCTGTAAGGGTGTCAGAAGGACAAGATGTATTTCTAGACCTCTGTTTATGTGCTGTCGACTAAGCCAGAGGGAAAAAGTTCCCCTCCCATTGCAGGGTTGGTCTACTCTCTTAAAGTGACGTTGGCCGGACTGGCTTTTCTTTTGTAAAGATGTTCCCTGTGTATTCTGTTGAGGATGAGTCCTTTTTAAGACGTGTTGATTTTAATATAAAACTGGAACATTTTTCCTTACCTTACTTCTACCAAGACAACTAAGTGTTCTGTGGGTAGAAGAACATTAAGTGCTCACCAAACAGGTAATTTGTTTTGCTTTTTAAAAAATACATAAAGGTACAATAGACTGTATATAAAATATTCAGAGTAACTCATGGAAATATAGCTAGAAGCATGTCTACCATGTAGAGGGTGTGGATTGGGGAGCTGGTAGGTAACAGGAGCCTGCCTCACGGAGCAACATTAGTGAAGCTAATTGGAGACCAGGATGCCCAAACCTGTGTTTGTACATGACTCTCAAAGATGCTAAATTCATAGTACTTCGTACGAAGTCTTGGTTTTGAAGCCAGATTACCTGCTTTTGATCCTTGGTTCTAAATGCAGGTGTGATCTTAGGCAGCTGTTTACCTTTTCTATACCTTCCTTGTGAGGAGGGCTGTACTAATAGTACCTACCTTGCAGAATTGTGAAGATTGTATGAGTCAGTACCCACATGGTACTTAAAACCGTGCCTGGAATATAACAGATGTATATCCTGTTGATATAAGTTTACAAAAAGGGGTCTTTCTTCCTGGAAACTAGTGTTTCTCTTCTGTTCCCTTTCCTGGTATCATGTTTCCTGAGAAGTTGAATTCTTGTTGAATTCTGATTACAAAGTAATGACAAGATTACTTGGTAGATATGAAAAGAACAGTATGTTAAGGACTATTTCCTGAAAGTAGTGGCCATGGGTGTTCCCCAAAAGATACCAGATGTATCTTTAACCCCCTACAGATGTTCCTTATTGAAACTTTCTCTCTCCTCTCTGCATTCCCTCTGAAATGCCATTTTTAGATTTTTAAGTGCCAAGCTAGCCCTATTAATTGATGTCTGTTCTCTGATTTCGTGTTATTGATAAAGTTTCAAATAGTTTTGCAATTCTCATAGACTAAGAGAACAGTATATCTAACTAACGTTAGTGTAGCGTAAACAGAAGCAATCCTTTCAGGTTCTTGATGGGTACCTGTTGCTTCTCACAGGGGCATTGAAAGGACATGGGCGTGGGTATATCTCCTCGATTTTTCTACAAATTTTTGTGTTGTACCTTTAAAAATATAAAAATATCCAAAGCCATGAACTTTAGCTACTTAAATGGTGACGTAAGTCCTGCTTCTGAACGCTGTCTAACTGTGTGGGACTAAACTTCACAACCAGGCTACAAAGTGACCACCAGGTAGGCAAATTAATGTCACCCTGATGATAATATTGCACGTTGCTGTTGTGAAGAAAGTTTTTTGCCCTTTAGAATTTTACTTAGGGAATAACTACACCCTTCTCTTTCAGAAATTAGGGAGTGTTCATGATACCTATTATGCATTTGAGTGTAGAATTATCTTCAGGCGATTTACTTTATAGCTTACAAAGTGCTCTCACGTTTTACCAGTTTTGTTTTGTTTTTTTTTTTTAAAGATTTATCCATGCATATAAGAACCGGGGTACAGGCCAGATGTGTGGGAGGGTGAGAGGATTCACCAGAGACAGAGCAGGGAACAGAACGGGCAGACTGACGAAATACACGCTGAGGGGAGCAGCGGCTGAGACGGGAGAGGTCTGCCGTGCCATGTGGGTATCTCCCAGGCCTGCTGGCTGGGATTGAACCCAAGCTGCAGAGGCTGCAGGCAGCTTCACAGTACTGTGCTCAACTGCCTGTGCCACCAGGGGAGGCCCACCAGGGTTTGTTTTTTTTTATTTTTTTTAAAGATTTATTTATTTATTTATACGAGCACTAGGGTACAGTCAGAAGCTCGGGAGGGTGAGAGTATTCACTAGAGCCAGAGAGGGGAACAGAACAGGCAGACCGATGAAATGCACTGCTGAGGGGAGCAGCGGGCGGCAGGAGAGGTCTGCACGCCATGTGGGACCCTTGTCCAGAGGCTGGGGATCGAACTGGCGCTGCAGAGGCTGCGGGCAGCTTCGCAACCCAGAGCTCAACCGCTGCGCCACCGGGGAGGCCCACCAGTTTTTTTTTTTTTAAAACTCCATAGAGATGTAGTCATGTTATCAAAAAAATAAATAAATAAATCCCAATCTTCTTCCAACTCTTACTAATCTTTGTGTTCTTCTCGATCCCAATCCTTTCTTGCATGTTAGTTAAGTAGTCATATGGATTCTTTTATTTTAAAGATAAGTTAAACTGTAAGGAAGCATAGTGAAAAGTAAAAAAAAAAGTAAACCTGACTAGTCTTGTCAGGACATTAAGGTGGCTCCTTTAGTGGAGTACTTAAGCGGTTTTCAAAAGGAGAGCTGAGGTCATGAAACATCCCTCTGAAGTGGTTACAAAGAGAATTTAATCAACTGGTTTTTTTTTTTGGTGTGGAAGAGTTCAGAGGAGGGAGGAATTTGGAGGCAAAAGCCAGCTGCTGCTGCTGGCAACTATAGCTGTTCTAGACTATCTATCCCCAAGATAACCTATATGGAAGTCTCTAAGTTCCAAATCTATAGGTAGGTGATGGGTAGGTAGACTGATAGATAAGGATTGAAGCTAGGAACATCTTGTAGGTTTACCCAGTTTCTACTGCCACTTAGATGATAATCATCAGTATTTGCAATACTGATGAAAAGTGGGATAGTTGCTGATAGCTAATATGTCTCTGTTTAAAACCAGACCTTCTTCAGATACCAATTTGTTGGAATAAAAAAGAGTCATTCACTTAGATATTCTCACCTATTGCACTTTATATAGTTATGGTTTTTCTTTGGATAAGTCTTGGCAGTGAAAATTCATTGGCGTATAAATGAAAAAAAAATTGGAGAAAGAGCCCAAAAAAATGAAATATTTGTTGGTTTGAAAGTGAGCCAACTGGAATTTCAGAATGTGAATTAATTATTGTATATTTTATTTTTTCACACTTATCTATTCCCTTGTTTGTTTTTTCCCTTCCTTTCCTTCCTCCCAACCCCTAGCATATATTATTCCCAATTGTCAGAGATTTTGAGTAAAATATGTGTTACTTTTTGTTTATAGCAATATCATTTTCTATCTGGCAGACTAGTGTCCTTAGCAACAGCCCGCAGAAACAAGCCCTTGTCTCATAATTGCAAGAAAAAAGAAATAATCCTTTTCAATGAAAGTGCTAACTACTCTTCTTGCCTTTTCTCTTGCTGCATACTGCTTAGGGAATTCTTCAAAATAGCAACTGTTGATGTCTGTTCACTTCTACAATTCAAGTGATGAGTCTTCATATTAAGACTGGTCTGAAAAAGCTGTATAAATGTACAATTTTTGAAAATTGCCTCATTAAAATATTATACCTCCCAGTAGAGAAGTATTATCAGTATATGCATCTACTTAACTCTAGCCCTATGATTACATGTTTGGCTGATACTTATTAATTTAAAGCCTACTCAACTTTTCACATCTGGGGTATTTGGAAAGAATATTGCAGGACTCATCCAAAATCAACACCACAACTTGATTTCTCTTTGAAAAATATTAATGGAAAAGGCAAACTAAAATTCACTTTGAGTAGGTTTAGAAAAAGAGAGTGACTTTGGTAGAAATAGTTTTTTTGCATGAATTTCAGTTTTCATATTAAAGGAGAACCTTTTCTCTTAAAAAAGCATGTGTATTGAAAACAAAAGCTTCAGATGCCTATGGAAGGAGATTTTTATTTTTTTTTTTTTGTTTTTTGTTTTTTTTAAAGATTTATTTATTTATTTATACAAGCACTGGGTACAGTCAGAAACGCAGGAGAGTGAGAGGATTCACCAGAGACAGAGCAGGGAACAGAACAGGCAGACTGACGAAGTTCGCTGCTGAGGGGAGCAGCAGGCACGAC